CAGTTGCTTTCGTGGTTCAAGTTGACTATTTGCAATTTGATATCTTACCATATATGTTACGTTACAGAAACTGAGTGGCGTACGACGCAGACTAGCCAATGACTTCCAGCATGAGTGGTATTCCGCAGACAATGAGTTCGTAGACGTGTACGATCGTCTTTTCTATCTTTTGGAGGATTTTAATAGTACAAATGTTATTCTATCGTTACTGAAAGAGAGTTTCAAAAGGGCAGTAAATTTGGAAGATACTGTGTGTGTGTTGTGTTTTAGAAAACAGACTGACTGTATTATGTAGAGAAGGACAGGAGGTGAACCAAAAAGAAGCATTATCACATATGAACAGAGGTTTTCTTGATCGAGGGATTTCGAATGTGTATGGTGGCTCGGCTGATTTGGTGAGTGTATTGTAAACGAGACACGAGTGTTCTGTGGGTCTTATTAGACTCAAAGTGGGATAATGTAGTAATTGTAGTAGTGTGCACTGATCACGAAATACGAATCGTGAATGGATTAGAAATCAAGGACGCCGCGTAAGCACTGGATCACACAGGTGCTAGCACGACAGTATTCCACGTAACTGAGAAGCGAGAAAAAGACCACAGGAGTAGCAGTTCATTTATTGAAAGAAATCTGGGGGATAAATTTCATGTACAAAACAAGCTCACTGGTCATCCAATCGCGTGTTTCTGGTGTTTCAATCGTTTGATTAGTCCCACGAAACACATGAAGAACAACAGGGTGGCGAACAAGCTCGTTTTCAGTTATTCGTAATCATTACAGAACATTAAATATGACTAACAACAAGAACAAATCAGGGAATGAGAGATCCGAGTCCTAATGATTCAGCTTTGGCTTCAATCATGCATGCATGTTTTTGTGTGAAATTGATCACAGTATCAAGAGTACAATTGATTGCACACGTGTTGGAGTAGCTGAAGTGGGCCAGGAGAGATTAAGTGCTTGCACGATTATGAATTTCTGGTGTTGTTCAACTTCTGTTAGGGTCTCACGGTCTATGATTGACTGGTACAATCGGCCAATGGTATGTAGTCCAGGAGCTGTGACACGTACGCGCTTTGATGACGTCACTCGGGAAGCTTGATTGATCACAGCTGTCCAAAAACTGTAACGTGTAGCTCCTTGATATGCGTCATATTGTAGGTTGGGATCACCACAGATTACTAAAGGTAAAGGGAGGTATGAGTTTTAAAGCAGAGCACCCCGGATAATTAGTACTTACTTTGTATAAAACTAAATGATGTCTTGTTGGGGATGGGCAAACATCAGTTCAGTCAAAAGAGATTATCGGATAAGTGGATGCGTAATCAAAGTCACCCTATGGAGACTGTCGTCTATCAGGGGAACGAAAGACGTTATAAATGCACCAAAGAATGATTAAATGTGAGACGGAGTTCAGAAGGAGCTACGTGTAAATTGGTTATGTTGGTGTCCTGACATCGCAAAAATCTAGGACCCAAAGTTTATTTATGCCCTGGACCATGAACTGGAGGGACCGACGAGGGATGGACGTCAAGCTGTTCCTAATCGGGAAGAAAGAAAAACTAAGAGCTTTCGATGTTGGATGACAGCAACAAGGCCTTTACAGTTCTGTGCTACTCAGTTATGAATAATAGTTAAGTGCAAATTTTACATTCAATCACCTCATCAACTGATCAGTTACGATCCAGCTTAGCGAGAATGTGAGATCACTAACGAAGAAACAGCAAGCCGTAGTATAATAGAAGCACATGGAACCGATTGAATCGGTTAAATTTCGGCTGAGAGGGAGAGATTAGTAGGCTGTCTGTCTGCATGTGATATGCTTCTGTGGTGAAATCAATCAGCAGGTACTGTCTTTGATGTGTCCCCAGGTCTGAACAGAACACTGTATTTCAATGGGGTTTCGGCACTACTGTTCACTTGTTTGTTACATGTATTCATTNTGTTCTACGTCCACATTCACGTGCTAAACAGCACCCACACATTTCAGTTTTCATGCAACTCGTGTAAAGAAAACAGAAACCTGCATGGATGCACTCAGTTGGTGCGCATAGACATGAATCAACACATACACACACTAGAAACCAAACACGTGTGGTATAGTCATCCCCGAAACCCGCATTCATTGCAGAGAGAAATCAATTGGCATTCCATAATCAGATAGAAATGTAAAGAACAAACAAGATGTTCGAGTTCCAAAGAGCGATTGGTGAACAGATCCACAGTTTCGATGGAATTCGAACATAAGACTGTTGTCCTACGTAATCTACCTAATCAACCAATCAGACTACGTGAACTCCATACCATGATGTTATCGGATTTTCTTTGAATGTGTCAAGAATTTGAATTTCGAAAATGATCCGTGGCTTCTGTGGGATTCGAGCTCACACATGGACGCCGCCGCCGACAACGAAACAACACAATTCGAAGACGTATCGCAGCCTAGTTTGTCCACTCGGTGGACGATGGTGGATTCTAAGGAGAACCCGCCGTGTTGGTCAGCTGATATGCTACTTGTAGGATTTCATATGTATCTGTAAGCTGGATGAGTGATTCGATTGTGAATAGATTAGCGCCCTCGATGTGGCCTCGTAGATCAACTGGTGGAGCGTTCTCTATACAAAAGCGTAGGTGACATCCACGTGTGAGTTATAATTAAGCGAGGCCACTGAATCTGCCACAAAAAAAACGTTAGATCTCGGTCATGCAAACAACATAATACGTAGCTTTAATCGAAAAGAGTACACCTCGATCAGCCGGTGACCATTTCATATACCTCTTTGGAACCTCTGTTTGTTTGTACAGTCCCTCTGAATATAACTGGTAAGAGCTTCAGTGCTGCCAAATTTTCGATTTTATACACTGAGAGGATTCCTTTTAAAATGTGGCTTTCAATCAATACACACCCCTCCACTCTCTTCACGACTACAGTAGTAACTATCAATAACCGTTTCATATTCGTTTGCTCTGATTTTTCGCCTCTGTCATCGTTATGAACTGTCAAATATCTATACTATGATCGTTTTATATTTGTAACTACACGATGCGATATATTAGCAAGAAACTACTTTGCAAAAATCTTTTTTTTTTAATACACTGGGAATTCTGCTTCCATCGAGGAGAAACCGTTCGAGTAATTAGCGTTCACGTGCGCGAAGTAAGTTAGGAATCAATTAGTGGAGTGCACCGTCTCCACGGTACCCGTGTGCGTGTGGGCTTGTATGAATAAAAGAATGCGTGGATCAAGCACGATATTGTAGTATTATTCTCTGGACCGGAAGAATTTCACAGAACCACTTATTTTGTATCCATCGCGTTTCCCTCCCCTAAAAAGAGAAAGTCACGCAACACTACGCGATCAGGTCTATGCAAAGCCCATATTGGCGAGGGAGATTTGTTGCCACGTTCCAACTGATCCCCTAAGGACCACTGGTAATATAGTTCCATTTCCTCTTATTTTGATTGATAGTAAGATAGCGCTTAACCGACATAACCACGGCCGACATAGTTACCATGTTTCAATTTAGTTCAGTGATAACAATGGTCCTTTAGCGGTCTCTCCAGCAACTTACGATTGTTCCTTATCATATTTCATCGAGAAGTATTGCTATTTGAAATATCTGAAATATTAATTCCTTTTGATCCATTCCAATAAAACAAACAATACAACATGCGTAACAGTGATATCGACCATCGATTTTGCGTGCTCTTCATCAGCTGTCTACTTGTAATGATTGCAGTAGTAGTAGTAGTAGTATTAAGCACGCAATTCGGAACACGAACCACGCAATAGGAATCACAGGACAGGAATCTAGGATCAGCTATCACGGACTGGGTTACGGAAGCACTGGACCACAATGGCACGAGTTCGCAATATCCCACATAACTGAGACACGAAGAAAAGGCCACAAGAATAGCAATTCGTAGTTCGTTTATTGAAAGAAATGAAGATGATTAAATAATGTGTACAAAAGGTCATTGGTTATCTATGATTCTACCAATCATAGTGCAGTATTGCCTGTATACTTCTGCTTCCGTTTGCACTGTCTCGGATTGGCTGGCACGGTCCACCAATGGCGTGTAGTCAGAAACTGTGACGCGTACGCGTACGTACGTCACCTTTGAAATTTGATTGATCGCAGGTGTCCGAAAACTGTAACGCACCGCTCCAGGGTAGGTGTCATCACGTAGGCCTGGATCACCACAGTACGTCCTGACTAAATAATGTTGCCCCTTGGAAATCGTACTTCCTTGGTCGTTGACCTATGTAGGGGTTAGCCTATGACTAACCAGTATTCAGTGTCGAATTCAACCAATGATGTTTCACCTAGGGTGATGCTAACTGATCGAATAATTTTCGTAAGGAAAACACACGAATGTCAGTAATTCAAGATGGTGCTATGTGAAGCGAAAATGTGTAAGTGGTTACGTAATGGTTGTAGTAATGGTAGTGGTAGTACGCACTGAACTCGGAGTACGAACCACGCAATAGGGATCACAGTACACGAATGTGGTGATCGAGGCCTACACGATGACATCTCCTCTGGAGCGGTGCGTTGCAGTTTTCGGACACCTGCGATCAATCAAATTTCAAAGGTGACATCAATGACGCACGTGTGTGTCACTGCTTCTGACTGCACACCATTGGCAGATCATGCCAGCCAATCGGAGACAGTGTAATCCAGACAGAAGCAGAAGGATGCCAGCAATACTGGAATGCGGTTGGTGGAAACCTGAATAACCAATGATCTTCTTTTGTACATATTATTTAATCGCACTCATTTCTTTCAATAAACGAACTACGAATTGCTATTCTTGTGGCCTTTCCTCGCATCTGAGTTACGTGGGATATCGCGTGCTCGTGTCAGTGCGGTCTAGTGCTTACGTGATCCTGTCCGTAATAGCTGATCCTTGATTCGTTTTACGTGGTCCGTGTTCCGAGTTATGTGCGTATTACTACTATTACTATGGTCACTACAGACACTACAATGAATCAAGCATTAGCAATCACGGACTGGATCCCGTAAGCACTGGACCGCACTGGCGCTAGCACGCAGTATCCCACGTAATTGAGACGCGAGGAAATAGGCCTGAAGAATGGTAGTTCAGAAGGAATATTGGGAATTGAATAATATGTACAAAGTAGGCTCATTGGTTATCCGGGCTTCTAACAATCGCGTTCCAGCATTCATGGCATCGTTCTATTTCTGTCTGGGCCGCACGGTCTCGGATTGGCTGGTAAAATCTACCTATGATATATAGTCAGCAGCAGTGACACGTATGCACGTTGTTGACGTCAGCCGTGAATTTTGATTGATCGCAGGTGTCCGAAAACTGTAACGCACCGCCCCAGGGTAGGTGTCATCTCGTAGGCCCGGATAACCGCAACTCTCCTCCCTCAAAAGTGCCTCTTCGAATTGAACTCTTCTTGGTAATGAGTTTCGTAGGGCGAGTGTAAGAATCTCTTCGTTAGGCACTTCAGGATGACCGGATTTCTGTTTTGTGATCTTTGTACTTGAAGATGCAGGATCAATGAATTCATCGTTCGCACTGGCATAATCCTCTGAACGTATTTGGTGCATTTGTTGTCACTGATCAGCTGAATCGTTCGTCGAATTTAACACATCACATTGATGTTCGTAGCTCGGGTGAAATGAATTTCACTTAGCCTGTTCACCGAGCTTGGCAATTTGCTTACAAACGTTTAATCACCAGCCGAGGTGACATCATCAATGCTTGTGAAGTGGCCTACGATTCCAACATAGTACACCGTCCAGGCGTATCGATTGCACAAGCCGATTTCCCTCCCGGTGGTCCAATTTCTCGATAACTAAGTGGTGCCATTTAATTGCTGTACCTACCCCGGTATCACGCTAGGAAGTGCGCAAACTTACCAGGCGATACTAGGCAGGAGCCCATGAAAGCCCTATCGAGAAGATGGCATCCAGACCTGAAGCGCGGTTCCCAGCATTTTACGTGCATCGTGAACAAATCAGTGTTCAACCTGACGGAATACTATGCCGCAACGATCGACTGATCGTAACTTGTCCGGTTTGCGTGTAGACCGGACTATGATTCGTTCTCGCGCTTTTGTGCTAGTCGATCTGGATGATAACTGGAATGGTCGCGGTCGTGTTGTTCATCAACAGCGGGTCAACTGCAGTTAGGGCATCACTCGATTTGAAATAAATTGATGGATTTTCCCGTGTTACTTTGGGTTTGTATTTAACGTCCTTTTATTCACTTTTATTCGTTATCTGCTTGAGTTTACTTTACCTCTCTCTCTCTCTCTCTCGATAATACCTTCCGTCAGGGTTCACGATCGGCATTACTTATGTTCATAAAAAGCCTAATCGGACTGCTTTGTTGTGAGGAAATACCGATTGTCTTGTAAAGGAATACTAAACAGCCCATAGGCTCATACATTTAAGTTATGCTACTTTACTTTCTGTGTGTTTTGGTATCAACAGATGCTTGCTCTTGGTAGCAGTTAACTGGATTTGTTCCATGGATGATCACGAGTGACAAAGGCGGTACACGGAAGAAAAAGCAATATACTGACCCTGTGCAGCAGTATCGAATCAATTCAAAACAATACAAAGTTTACTGCACCTTACAATAAATGAGGTGAGAAGAGTTGTGACGAGTAAAACAAAAGATAAAAAGAGCTCACGTTACACGCTCCCGATGATGGGCTTATTCGATTCAATGGAGCTAAATCCATCACCAATGGTTAGGAATAAATGAATCTTGTTATCTGCAGTTTGTCACTACGAACAGGCTAAAATTTACGGTGAACAAGGGACGCAATTGTTATCATTGATCTGCGGTTGTAAAGTAAACGTTTATAACCTGGTACACGTGATTTGCTTTTGAACGGATCGATACGAGCCGTTCCGTGTTAATATGTTTTCTATTTACGCACTCGTGACTACAAACGTATGCAACCCCAAGTTCCTTTTCCCTCTCTGAAGCAAACCTTCTGACATTTGTTTTTACACCAACCACAATCCCGCTTCTTGTGTTCTGTGTTGCTACCTCACCTAGACGAGAAACCATAGAAAGTTCCTCGGAAGAAAACTGCAGCTTTTTGGTAGTTTGGACTATTCGAAACACTTTTTTTCTGAAGTAACACTGGAATTTGTTAGGACTGAATTCCGATCGCAACCCTAATGCGCAGTATTGAAAGGGGCCCTTGACCCAACATAAAAAATCAGACTATAAATGACAGTGCGTTCCGCTCGGAACCAGGCCAACGATCTAATGAATGATCGTGAGAACATATCAATCATTTAAACGGTGACCCAAAACTAGGCCAAGATGGCTCACGGACAAAACGGCCTGGACGGATATTGGTCAGTGCCGGGCATGAACAACTGTATCACGTGATTGGACAATCAATATAAACTGACAGACGAGTGTCTAAATTGCAGAATGGAACTTGTATTTTAAGAGAATGAATCCGTTGGCGGATATCGGACAACTATTTCAAATTTGATGTACGTGAATTCAGTGACTCTAACAGTTTCCAATAGTTAGGATCAATTTTATGAATGATAAAAGCTTGGGTATTTTTCAAATGGTCGACTTCTGATGAACTAATAAGCTTTTACTGATATGTTAATGCGGAAGATTTGGGGTGCCGTTCCCATCTACGAAACGTGAAGACAAACCATGACAAACCATGAATTTTTAAAATTTTGTTTGCTTCGTTAACACTGTGAATTGGCCAACCTCTATAGTGTTCAACATCGAAACTAACAAACGTAACAAAATCACAGTACTCAGCAAATTCTATAGGGTTGACGTGGTGTTCAGCAAAAAAGATAGTAGTCTTCAACATTGTCTTCATCTACCAACACAGTTAGCATATTTGGTTTTGTTTATTGCAGAATTGATCCACAAAGAGTGCTTTGTTAAATGTTTCATTCTTATTAGAATTCATCAGCCGTGTGAACTGCTCTCAAGTTTCAAAAATGTGGCAACCGTCGGGCAACCAATCGAGTGCCAGATACTGCAGATGGCTACTTTTGAAAAAATGAAAGAAATCAGTAGAATATTCTTCTGTGGTACATGAAAAAATGTTGATTCACAGACGGCTTATTTAACGGAGGATTATTACTGTCTGA